AGTTGCGAGCGCCGTAAAACCCTATACTAAACAAACAAACAATCTCTCTTTCTCTCTCTCTATCTCTCTCTCTATCTCTCTATCTCTCTCTCTCTCTCTTCAACGACACGACGTCGCGAGGCTTGTAATGCCGCAGTCAGGCACATCACCATCCTCTTTACCAATCACACGCGAGCGAGCGAGGCGGTAACGAGAAGAGAAGAGAGAGATACGGGTGGGTAGGGTATTTTTCTTTTTCAAACTACGCTTTCTTTTTTCCACAACAATCGTCGTCGTTGTGAAAAAGAGTGTGAGCTGGAGGGGGAGGGGGCGGTGAGAGAGAGAGAGAGAGAGAGAGAGAGAGAGAGAGAGAGAGAGAGAGAGAGAGAGAGAGAGAGAGAGAGAGAGAGAGAGAGAGAGAGAGAGAGTTCAGTGATATCGCGTGGCGGGTTCCTATCAGGACACGGGTGTGGGGTGTCTCCTTCTACTTCTATAGGCAGGCCAAGCTTCGTTCGTCTCCACGAAGGTCGGCAGCACTTACTACTATTCACTATGACTGAGATATCGCCAACAGTGCTTTCTTATTATTATTATTCACCGCCAGGATTTATTAATAATTCTTTTATGAGAACGAAAGAAAAGGTTTCCGTTCTGTCGTTCAGGTGCCTGTGAATGTGTTGAGATTTCTCAAGTGAGGGTTATCGAAATTGAGATCCGACGTGGAGTTTGGATAGTAATATATAATAATTCATTATTCCGGTAAAGTGCAGAAAACCAACATGGTAAATTATTCAAGCTTTTGAATTATATCTTGATCTAGATCTAGATCTATATTGTTCTGATTATATATCTATTTTTTCTATCTAGGTGAAGCCAAGACCTTTTAGGCCCAGTGGACGTAGATCTAGCTTATTTTGATGTGTCTGTATTTGGATTCACGGATTACGAAAGCGAGGACTTCTACGTGCAAACAAAAAGGAATATTTCTTCTCTTAGTCTAGGTGAGTGTTGATCGTTTATAAGCCTGATGACACACTGGACACTCTTACTCATTTTGCTATCCTTAAAATGTCTATTCTATTCTATTCTTTTCACTTTTCATGTACGTTTTTATTTTTGCAACTAGATAATCTATATAAGCCACACGTTTCTACATTGATTCATTTACTCTTTCATCACTCTCCTTCATCACTCTATATTGTTTTTCTTTTAGATTTCAATCATAAAGATATTAAGATCTAGAATTTAGATCTAGATCTAAGTCTAGATTAGATTATCTTTTTTTTAAAAACGATTTCAAAGATCAGGTTCCCCATCCCTCGTTCAACCATGCATCTCTCTCCCCCTTTAATTCTGTTTTTGTTTGTCTTTCTTCCTATCTCTGTCTCTTTATTTCTCTGTTTCTCTCTCTCTCTCTCTCTCTCTCTCTCT